GTAGGTCTAATTTTATAAGTGTCTCCCTAATTGTTAAATGCAAGCACATACTGTTAACTGGATACTTGAGGCATTTAAGAGATACAAAGCCCTCATGGGGTCTCTTTTACATAGAAGTGGCTTGATATTTCACTTTGGTTGTTGAACTGACAGCCAGTCAGATGACAGAAACTTGTCACTGCTCTCAAGGAGGAGGTTCAAAGATAAAAGATACATATATATTGTTCTTTTATTTGACATCTGATCAGGCCACCTTCCATATTCAGTTAAGTTTGGAGACTACAGTATTTAAGTTACATCTGCCATTGAAAGAGCATGGAGACCTCCCAATACTAAACTTAGCATGGGTGTCTATAAACTTTTTCTGTAGAAGTCCAGATATTAAATCTTAGGCTTTGCAGGCCATATGTTCTCTGTTTTAGCTATTCAACTCTGTCATGTAGCACAAAAGCAGCCTTTGTATGTAAATGAATGCTTATGTCTGTGTTCCTGCAAAACTGTTAACAAAAACAGTCCAAGGGCGTTTGACCTGCTGTGGTTTCCATCCGTTGGCTTGGGGTATTGGTACTTCTAAGCTTTAGTCTAAAGATGCTGAAACTAGGAAGATTATTGGTTAGGATAAGCCAAGGGCTAATTTTTTATTCATTCGTAACCAGTGTTACAAAAATGTTAAGTATAGGACAGGAAAAAATACAGAAATATAAAGAGGATTCTTGGTAGTACAAAATGGTGCCAACGTGTGACGTCAGTAACAAGATAGAACAGACCCTCCATATTTGTAGCAGCTAATTCCATGAATTAAAAGTTCCAATCTTTATTAAATAGAGCCATAGTTATACAGAACTATGTAAAATTGCATAATTACTCAGGCTATGTGTAATTGAGAAAGATGTTCTCAGTTGAGAAGGAAGGAAACAAGACCTCCTCCATGTTTCCTTCTTCACCAGTAACCAAAGGGCTAAAAGTTCTTATATGGAGACATCATTAATCACTGTTTAAGACTATAGCTCAACCAAGCCACATTAATAGCTAAAAAAGATTTCTAGTTGATTACGTAGCTCAGCTGTTATTAAATATGCCCTAGCGGACTAGTAAAAGCCCCAGGTAGGAAAAATAGAAGGTCAATAATCAGTATTTGTTGTGTGTCATAGGAAGCCAATAGTATTTATCACGTGTCAGGCTTTTTCATGTCCTCTGTTTCTCTAAATAAGGAGAAGGAAAGGAACCTTAACATTTGAATGCCTTGCTTAAGCCTGGAAATATTAAAATTTAGGTGAGATTATTTATATATTATTGATGAGGAAGCATACTCAGATAGTTACCTAAGGCAGGAGTCCCCAGCCTCTGGGCTGTGGACTGGTACCAGTCTGTGGCAGCATTTGATTCTCACAGGAGCATGAACCTTATTGTGAACTGAGCATGAGAGGGATCTAGGTTGCACATTCATGAGACTCTAATGTGGCCTACTCCCCATCTGGGGAAACATCGTCTTCCACGAAACCAGTCCCTGGTGCCAAAACAGTTGGGGACTGCTGGCTTCAGGCAGTACTTAGCACAAGTTAAAGTAAGGAAAAGACTCTTCAGTTATATCACACTAATCTTCCTTACATCTTTCCTTGTTGCTTTATAATTTGAAATTGCGAAGAGTTAAGGCATACATATTTAGTAGATTGTGTGAATGGATCTTGATCCACCAAACTCTAGGTCTCGCAGAACCATTATCTTCCAGTAAGAGCAAAGGGTACTCTATTTTTCTACTGGTATAATCATTGGATACTAGTGGCCCCTTACACACAAGACCTATTGGAACATAGAAATCTCTGAACAACATGTCTTTGATTTTTCTTTTTTCTATTTATACTCTGCTTCTTCAAGATTATCTATTTTATGAATAATTAATGCTCACTTCTACCGCTTTTTTCTTTTCACTTGTTGCCACTCTTTGAACTTGAAAGATGATGGCACTGTGGATTACTAGTATCAATGAGAGAAAGACTACATACAACTAAAGGCCATTTTTGTACATTAACAACACTTTTTCATTGTTAAAACATATTTTTTGTTTCCATAACAAAAGTTACTTCATTTGGGGCTTAACCTTAAGTTTTGATAACAAGTAGACTGTTCCAGTAAAGTATTGAGCAGCAAATAAGTACTTACTAATTTTTTTTTCTTTGCCATTTGGTAGGTAGTACATCCTCCTGTGTGTTAGCAGCTTTTATAAACACTTCAAAGAACAGCATTCATGAAACTTAAGTGAAAAAGAAAAGTTGCTTCGAGTCCTTTAAAATTTTTTCTATGCATTCACAAGCATATGTGTTTATCCTTTTTAAATATGAACTATACAAAAGTATATGCAAATGTCCAGTTTAAAGAAAAAAAAAAACATGCATTTACCCAATACCAATGCTTCCTTTCTGAACTTAAGAAATAGAATGGTCCTAGTAACTGAAGAACCTCTGAGCCCCTCAGTAATTGTATTTTCTTCTTTGCCCCTAAAAAGTAAACACTACCGTAACTTTTGTGTTAATAATTTCTTTGTTTTTATTGCCTTATTGCACACACAGATACACATATGCATACCATATATACACACCGTTGACGCTTGAACAACAGGTTAGGGATGCCTATTCTCCAGTAACCCAAGAATCAAAAGTTACTACATGAAGTAAAAAATCCATGTATAACCTACCACTCCCACAAAGGAACTAAGTGCTTACTGATAAACAGTTGATTAACAAATGTTTTGTAAGTTATATACTGTATTTTTACAATAAAGTAAACTAGAGAAAAGAATGAGGAAATAAGAGAAAATATGCTTAATATTCATTAGGTGGAAATGGATCATCATTATAAAGGTCTTCATCCTTGTCTTCACATTGATTAGGCGGAGGAGGGGATTGGTCCTGCAATCTCATTGGTAGCAGAAGAGAAAGTGAAAGAGGTAGAAGGAAAGGCATGAGAGATAGGTACACCTACAACCTTAAGGAAACATTGTAATTGGACTTTTGATTTTTCATTTCTCTAAAAATATCTGTATATGGTACTCATCCTTTTTCGATCATTTGCTGTAGTTTTTAGTGCCTGCATCAGAAGGGTCTGTGCTATAAAAAGAAGTCAAAAGCAATCGTGAATATTCGGAACCCTTCTGTCAGATATCTAATGTTAATTTGTGTTCTGGCACTGTTGGTTCTGCATTGGCTTATCGTCTGGCATTGGTTCAGAAACACATCTTCATCAAGTCGTGTTCTGTTAATTCCTATGGTATGGTGTCTGTTAGCTCTTGAATTTCTCCAATATCTATATCTTGAAACCCTCTGCCCCCCACCTTTCTGCCATATCCATAACCTCTTTCATGATTTCCTTGATTGGTTCTGTTGTAAATCCTATGAAGTTTTCCAGAACATCTGGACATAGTTTTCTGCAGCAGGAATTTATTGTTTTGGGCTTGATGGCTTTCATGGCTTTTTTTTTTTTTTTTTTTTTTTTTTTTTTTTTTTTTCTTTCTTTCTAACAACAATGGTATCTGCAGTGGTGTAATTCTTACAGACTTTCGTGATGTTCTCTCCATCTGGATTGTCTTTCACAGCATTGGCAATTCTTTCCATAGAGTACCATGTGCATGGAGCTTTAAAGGTCCTTATGACCTCCTAATTGAGAGGCCAAATTAGAGATAATGTGTTTGGGGGCAAGTAGACCACTTGAACACCTTTAGTGTTGAGCCTACAGACTTCTGGTTGGCTAGGGGATTGTCAAATATCAAAAAAACGTAAAAGACAGTCTCTTACTGGCAAGGTACTTCCTGAATTCAGGGAAAAAGCGTTAATGGAAACAATCCAGAGAAAGGGTTAAAGTTGTCCAGTCTTTCTTGTACAACCAAAAGACTTGCAACTGGTGTTTATCTTCTCTTCAAGCCTCAGGGGTTAGCAGCTTTATTGATAAGGGCAGTCCTGATCATAAATCTGACTGTATGTACATAAGTCAGTAGAGTTGGCTTTATTTCTTGCTGCCTCAAATCCTGGTGCTCACTTCTCTTCCTTACAAATAAGTGTACTTTTTTCAAGAATAGGACAGTTTTGTCGGTAGTTAAAAATTTATTCATGCAGACATTCCTCCTCTTCAGTGATTTTCTTAGTGTATGGGAGCTCATCTGCTGCCTCTTGCAGCAGAAGCTGCTTCTCCTATCTTGACACTTTTTAAGCCTGTCTTCTTTAAAATCATCAAACCATCCTTTGCTGGCATTAAATTCTCTAGCTTTAGGCCTTCACCTTCCCTTGGCTTTAAGTTGTCATATAATGACCACTGTCTGGAATCATATTAGACCCTATAACTGTGCCTTTCTTACAACAATTCTGCACCCACATAAAAACTACATTTTCAAAATGAGATAAAAACGTATTTCACAAAAAAGTACAATATTTCTGTACTTGCTGGCATAGCTGCAGCAACTGCTTCACACATTTTCTCTCTCTCTCTCTTTTTTTTTTTTTTACAGTAGTTCTTGTGCTAGATTCATTTATCTTGGAATGGCTGGCAATCCAGCTGCACACCTCAATTTACAGTATATATCAAGCGATTCAACTTTTTCTTGTAACGTCATGACTTCTCTGTTTCTTTGGATCACTTCCAGTACCACTGGTGGCATTTTGTATGGACTCCGTGGTGTTATGGTTTTGCACTAAACATGAAAAACATGAGAACCATGAAAGATCACTTTTTACAGCACTATGCAATTTACTGGAGAGATGAACTGCTCACACAGAGATAGCATCACATGGCATTTTAAGTGGATACTCACAAGGCCTCACTGCAATAGCAACAGGAGGTGGCTATGAAATTATGAAGTGATACAGTATTAACTACAGTTAATTTTATGCATGTGTGGTTTAATATCGCATGTTTGCATTTGTTTACATTTCTCTTGACTGGGAATGGGACCATGTCTGTAAGTGTATAAGTTTTGAAAAATTTTAACTTTAAAAAAAAAAAAAAAAAAAAAATTAACTTTTTATAATAGATTTGTTCGTGTGAATTTTATGGTAGTAAATGATAAAAATAGACTAGTATCTACATATTTTTATATATTCTTGACACCTTTTTCTTAATTCGGTCAATATTTTTAGGCTACATTGTTTGAGTTTTTTCAAATTGTGGTGTGTTCAAGGGTCAATTGTAGTTGGTCAGTTCCTGTCCTAGACTGTCATTTTCATTTATGTATGGTATCTGTCTGGTTCACTACAGAATCCCTAGTGTCTGGCTTGTATTAGGCCCTCAATAAATTATTGAATGAATGAATCAGTGAATGTTCATAATGGCATATTGGAAAAAAAATTGAAGGTAAAAGATTAGAAACTAAATGTATCTTTCAGAAAACTTAAATTTTCTTTTCTTATCAGGTGACCATGACCAAAATCATGTATTTCTTATTCTCTAATTTCCTAGTCTGTCAAATGGCAGTATTGACTGCTTTGTGTGCCTGGCTATTTGGGATTAAGTACCAATAAATAAATTTGAAAAACAACAAAAATCAAAACATCACATCCCTTTCTACATGAGTTCACAGTTTACGTCTGGAACAGGCACATGAGCATGAGATAAAATGATAAGTACTGCATGTGAAAACACTTAGACTTATGAAGTGCTTCTGTAAGATACATTTTTAAAATGGTTAAAGTCAGTTGAAGATTTGTTAAAATCATCAAGATACTGCAATGTGTGAAAAGTTTCATAAAAATTATCTTTTTCTTGGTCTTGTTTCCATTTTGGTAATGGTGGAAGTAAAAATGGAGAGTGGCAGATGCACTAATTACCTCAGATGTTTTCCTTCCTCTCAACTTCCCAGTTGTCAAACAAAAAGCTGGACAGCATACAAAACTTTTGGACTTAGAATCTTACAATATTCTGACCTTGTGTGGTTTGCCAGCCTATGACTGATCATCACATATGACCACTGTTTTGCTTTCTAGCCAGTGACTTTGTGAACAAAGCATAGCAGTACAGATATCCTCAAATACCCTCACTCACGTACCTTGAAGAGGTCACTTGGGTAGTAAACCCTATTGGTTCTTGCGCCACTAACACAAGAGCAATTGAGACCCTAAACTGTGTTTGCCTCAGCAACAGAATCCAGTAGTAAAAACTCAGCCAAAAGACCAGCAGTAAGAAAAGTAGTCAAGGTCAGGGCCAAACTATCTGCTGGAGTGAAACATTGAAAGCTTCCAATGAGGCTTTAATTAGACTGAAAAAACAGCTCGCTGTTAAACTGTTTTGTGTTTCCCATGCATAATTTACTCCCATGCATTTTTAATTCTCTCAGTGATCAAACGTCTTCTGGAAAAGTGCTAACTTCCTGGAGAGGTAGCACAAACACTGTTACGTTTTGTTAATTTTTCATTTCATTTATTTAATAAACAGTTTGACTGTTACAATCTGCAAGAAATAACATTAAGGCATCTCCTATTTTGGTTCTAAAACCATGGCTCTTGTGCTGACTTCCATTTAGTCTTCTGAGACTGGGAGAACAATGCCAGATTGATTCATTTTGTTTTTAATTGTTGTATAGACCATTGAGGGGTGAGGAGAATGTTGTTTGAATTTGACATTTTGAACTGGGAAACAGCTTGGAAACGTAGGCACAATTCCAGGTAAATAAGCTAAGTATACTTATGTGTGTATGTATATGTAAGTCTAATTGCTTAAAGGTATACCTCTAAGATTCCAAATTGATTGATGCTAGAAGGCAGCTGTTTAAGGACCAGAGGCATGGCTTATGTACAAAGTGATATGGAAAAAAATATAATTGGATCATAGAAAGACAGTGTTATTTAATCAGGATTTGAAATCTGGCAGCTCTCCTAGGAGAATAAAATACTATTGGATTGCGTTTATTTGTGGACATCTTTTATCTTGCCTCTACATTGCCCTTAGGCACTGTAACTCCTGGAACAGAAGGCATAATAATAGTTACTTGGTAGATACCTACTTGTTCACTGTCCATTCATTCATGCAGGTAGACAGGTGATGTTTGGGAAGTATCACAGCTGCAGTCTGGCAGAAAGAACCTGACAGTGATTCCCTCTTCTTTCCTAGAATGAGGGAGTATGGAGCTTTTCATTTCATTTTAGAGACAAATGGTCTGCACAGGAAGGAAACACATGGGTAGCAGTGTCTTTGTTCATTTGGCTAACCAGGCCAGAACTGTGGGTCCATCTCTGCATACGCCACTTAGTGTTTCTCTACTCCTAACCACAGATTTGCACTTGAACCTTTGCCAGCTGTTTCCCAAGTGCATGCCATTGGATGTGAGGGAGACCTGAAATGAGTGCAGATAGATCCGCTTAAAATCATCACAACTTTTTCAAACAAAACGCATAAAGCATGAAGCGCTTAATGGCAGATCAGAAGTTTTATCTTTATGTATTCAAAGGTCAAAACATTTGTAACACATGCTGCTGTCAGAGTAAATGCTGTATGATAGGAACAAAACTTAAGAAGCCTGTGACAAACTTGAATATTGAGACTTTTGTTATCATTTTAATCTAAAAAATTAAATTTTTTGCTGACAAGTTAGTATAACCAGTCCTAGAAAATAGTGGTTGGAATGAGAATGATCTCATTGATTCAGAAATTGCCAAAGGTCTACAAAACCAGTATGCCTCCTGTTTTAATAGAGGACATAATTAGAGAACGTTCTTGGTTGTCTAGCTTTCTTGCCCTGGGATTTGTGCCTAGTTGTTTGAGGATTTGTAGGACTCAGATTTCCCTAACAATCAACAATCCTTTTTATTTTCTATTTTCACTTTTAGTTACCATCCATCTATAATCATTTATATAATTTTAAGTGATCTTGAGAACAACCTTGTAATATTAATCAGGCATTAGTCTTGAAGTTTACCTGGTTAGTCATTTGGTAACCTTTTTTTATCTGACTATTAGTGACTTAAACAACTCTGAGAAGAACAGTTGACAATAAAGTGGGAAAAAAAAAGCATAGACCTATACTAACAAAATTAATTCTAAGATACTACATTCTCTTACTAGGAAACAGTGTGAAAGTTTAAATATCATTCATCAAAGTTTTTTTTTAAAGTTATACACTTTTTCCCCCCCTTCTAGAGTATCTAAGGAAAAAAGTAAAAGAACTCTCTTTGGCATCTCTGGACAGTTGAATAGACAAGGAAGAACTGTAGTCTTTTTTTTTTTTCAGCTAAATTACCCTAAGAACACTCTGCTCCAACATAGGAATGCCATGGAACAAGAGATGGTAACACAAGATACACCAGGAGACTCGAGGTTTTGTGTGTTTGAAACTTATATTCTACTATAATGACTAAATTGCAGAGAAGCAAAACTAATGTGTGTGTGTTTTTTTAAGATTTACCCAATGTTTTTTTGGTTCTGTCTTCTAGGAGTGAACAAACTCCTTTTGTTTTTTGTTTGTTTGTTGTTCTTAAATGTTCACCCTCAAATTTTATAAAACATTATAAAATGAGAAAAATTTAAAGTTATACTATATTCAAACTTTTAATGTTTTTATTATATGTATTTGCTCAAAATAGAAATGCCAAAAACATATAAAGATACAAAGTGGTAGGCAGTTTATGCCCTACATAACTTAATTTACATTGGTAGGACTATTTTTATCTTTAAACTTTTAATTTTCTTATAAAAATCAAGTAAATACAACAATTATTATTAGCTGAATAGCAGATGAGATCTCAGTATTTAAAAGAACAGATTTCTTCTTATAAACTTGCTTTTGATTTTAATTCAAGAATAATTATGCTGGGTTCTTACGTATGACGAGGAAAAAGCATGCGGTTGTGTGTTTTGGCATGTGTTCTTCTAGATTTTTCAGTGATGCTCATGATAAGCAACAAGGAAAACTTAGATTGTAAAGCCTTCTTCTATACCAGATTCTAATCATTGCTCTGAGAAAAATTTCAACACCTATTTGTTACTTTTGCTTGAAGATTTTATGTGTATACATGTTGATGACTTTTAGTGGTGAATAGGGATATGAAATTCAGTAGAGTAAACTTTTGGAACACAATCAAATAATACCTGCACAATCTGTGTTTCTTTCCAGCCCTATTACTGTTGCTTGAAAAAAGATTTGGGTAAGTAATTGCAAATTGATTAAAAGTATAACTTTTTAAATAACAGACTTTTTTCCCCCATCATTCATGTTTATAGCTCTCTCCTAAGAGAAAAATTCAAATGATAAAACATGGTTTTTAAATATATCACTACTATAAAGGATAAGAATGGGTGGGCATGAGTACATATCCCACCCCCAACACTTGTAGAAAAGTCTAGATTTTAGTATCAAACAGAGATGTGGGTGTTGTGCAATCAACAAAGCACTGTTGTGCAATAATTAAAGAATTTTTAAACTGAAGATTAAATTGGAATGTTGTTATAAACATAAAGGAAATGGCCAACATTTTTCTTTGTATCAAAAGAAAACTTATTTCTAAAAATAAGCACCCTCTTAGTGATGACCCTTTAAAATAGTTTTAAGTGATTACATCCACAGATGAGCTTTTGGCTCTGCAGCACTTTGCCATAAGTGGCTTGCTCTTTGATCCTGTAGCCTTTAATCAGGTGTGTATCTGAAGAAAGCACTGGCATGGCGGTGTCACCAGCCAGACTTGAAGTCCCTCTGGAAGTGAACCTGGCATCAGTGAAACATGCTGCTGGGTCCTGAAAAGTCTCCTTTGGCAGATGAATTTAAGGAAATGAGGCATAATTTCCCACTTCTAAATTTTATTTTATCAAATTGAAACAAACATGGATCTTTCTAAAGTTACCAAATATAAAACATCTCTTGGTGAAAAGGTAGAAGAAAGAAAAAGGAATGTGTTTTTGTCATCTTTTGTTTTTCACTTAACTTTCCCAGAAATCAGAATTAAGTGAAAGGAAAGATTGAGAATGTTACCTAGTCTAAGTGGTTGTTACTGACCTTTAGCATTCAATTCCTTTGTAATGAGACATTGATTTAGTGTAACCTAAATGTCCCAGTTTTCTTTATTTAGATTGTTATGAATATTGTCTTTTTTTAAACCCCAAAAGAAGCATTTTAGATATCATCTTAAGAAGTACAAACACCAAAGAATTATTTCTTTACTCTTTTTACTCAGCTTCCCCCTCGACTCAATCCCTGTTTCTTATCGCTACGGATTCTGTTCTCTATGAAGACGCCAGGCCTTGCTCTTCTCTTCCCTGTCCTTTTGCACCCCCTATCTAAACAGTCATAAGCACTGTCTTGGGTTTTTTCTGCCCAGCAATAACTTGGTGATTAAGGACTAGGCTGGAATCCTTCTTTGCCACTTATACATTGGCTTTGGAGAAGTTACTTAACCTTCTTAAAGAATGTTTCCAGTACCTACACTGTAGGGCTGTGGGATTAAAAAAATCACATAAAGCATTAACACAGTGCCTGCCTTCCTCCTCTGCCTTTCAGAGTGAATGCTGGAAACAGGGTAAACACTCAATAAAGTGTTAGTTTTTTTTTTTTTTTTTTTTTGAGACGGAGTTTCGCTCTTGTT